TCTAACTAAAAATAATATCATTGAAGTACATTGAACCATCTTACTTCTTCATTTCGTAGACCAACATGAAGATTCTTCTATCTGAATGGTCGTGGAAAAAGAAATGTTTGCCCGAGCTGAAAGATAAAAAATGTTGAGTTATTAGTCCAGGACATGGTGCTTTCAGGATACTGTTACACTGCCTTCATAATAGAGGTGTCATTGATAACTTGAGAGTTCAATGTTGTTAGTTAGCAAAGTAAAGTGTTGCGACTAAATTTTTTTTTTTAAGTTCTGGAAAACATCCAATTGAAAAAACAATTCTTTTCCAAAAGTTTTAAGGTGAAACAGTCGTCCATAGATTCGTTGTTTTTCAAAAGTACTTGGAAGGGTTAAGAAAGCTTACACATTGCTTGTGCTGTTTGGAGTGTACATGCATATGTCGTTATGTTTCTTCTCCTGCAAACTTCAAATGTTAGTATGCCTTTTGTCTTCTGTTTTGTTTTAAAATTTCTGTTGAGAGAGTTTTACCTCTTTAACTACTTCAACCAGGGCTCTGATCAGGATTTTATCTTCATCTCTAATAGTCCACTACAAACAAAGTTTGAAAGAAGTTGTCAGATTCAGAATAAGTCAATATTACTCAAAGCGTAAAAAGCAGATACTTACGGATTCTTCCGCCCCCTCCATGTCTTCTTCAAAAATCTTCTGGAACTCAGTCCATTTAAGTTTTATTAGCTTATCCTGCTGGGGGCTAATAAGAGGAATTGCTGTTTGAGTTAGAGCAAAGAAGGAACCAAAAAATTCTAAAGAAATAAAGCAGAAACGTGCAACAAGAGGAAGAAGAAACCGGTCTTAGATAGAGTATGTGTAAAGTTTGGGTCTGTTTTGGCTGTTGGGGTCTGTCTTGGTTATTTTGCAGACCTCTAAATGGAAAATCTTACCAGTGGTAGTCTAAATGCGGGAAAAGAGGCGGGGCGGCTCTTCATGAATGTGAATGGCAGGTATGCATGAAAGCAGAACTATATATATAGCATGTGTAAACAACCGATCTATCATATTTTCCCTTGAAAAAATTCCTAGGAATAATTGTTTGGTTTTTCTTTTGGAATCTTCTTTTTGGTCAACCGTTTGATTGCATTAAATTGATTTTTACCTGAACTATTTTTGTGGATAGGCAACCTTAAGCACTAGCAGAATTTGAATTATCTTCTCTGGAAAGGTCGTTTGAGATTCATCACGAATGTCAAACCCCATTTTCAGGTACTTAGTCTTGTTAGCAAGTTCGCGCCTCCATTGTTCAACCCGGTCCACCATATCCATTCCAGTGTTTAGTTGCATACCCATTGTAGTAGTATAGTGGTCTGAAAATGCATAATATATGTGTGTGGGTGTGTGTGTGTGTGTGTATATATATATATATATATATATGTATATGTATATGTTTAGTCAATAACTCCCAAACATTTAATTAGGAAAAGCTCTGATTATGCTATTACAGTGGAATTTTTGCAGCGTTCCCCTGATGATGAAGTTGTCTGGAACAGTGACATTTGCCAGAAACTTGTCTATCCTGCAAGCACAAATGTTTGAATATTCAACAAGAGATCTAGAGCTGAAGCAAAAATGGGTACCAATTTGTAAAAAAACAAAATTATGAAATGGTAACAGAAAGGGATTGTAAAAATCAAGATTATAAACGGATCTAGCTTAATTACAAATGGGTATGGTTAAAAAACAAGATATAAACACATTTTGCATTTTGCTTGTTAATGTAGATGGGTAAATACACAATTATGGCAACACACATGGATTGTAAAAATCAAAATTATGAACAGAACTAGCTTAACACAAATGGGTATCGTTAAAAGATAAGATATAAACACATTTAGCAAGTCTGTAAACGTAAATGGGTATATACTAACAACAAAATTATAAAATGGTAACATAATTTGGCTTATCAAAACAAATTTATAAAGAGAATAACCTGTTGACAATGTTCTTTTTTTAAAAGTGAAAATGTTCGCGATCGATGTGGTAGTAAATTGGAAAACCCAAATCCATTCGGGGAACAGCATTTAGGGCAATGGCAAAGGGTAGGTACTTTTATAGTGGTGCCCACGGAAAGTACCTGTTGTCCGTATTCACACGGTCCGCATTGATTTATTTCTCACTTCTTGCAAAGGATAAAGATAAACTAAAGATTTCAAGATTTTGTGCTTTTAACGTGAAAAGGGCTTTGTGGAAATATTAGATACTCTTTATATGAAATTTTTATGTTTTCAGCTAAAAGAAAAGATCATATGTTACTATTGAGTGTGCAATGTGCTTAAACAGAAGTTATATTAGTTTTGCCTGCTGTACGTGTATGACGGAAATATCTCATCTAAATACTTAAAAACTATTGACGATAAAATAGTTTTATTTCTTAATTATTTTTTCAAGACGGAAGATTAGGACAAAGTGGTGAATGGTAATGAAGGTCCACATAACAGTGTAATGTGTCTATACTCTCGTGGAATGCACTTTGACGAGAATGGACCCACACGATCAAATTGGTTATTTGGAGACCGAAGGAGCCTTTAGGAAACGAAGAAAGAAAGTAACAAACAACAATACCATACCCGATGTAATCCCATATAATAAGGTTCGAGGAGTGTAGTGTTTATATAGATCTTACCCCTATCGTTGTAAAAGTTGAGAAATTTTCAATAACCCCTCGACTCAAGAAAAGTATAAGCACAACAATATGAACAAGGAAATACGATAATTTAGAAGCCATAAAAAGAAGCAGCAAGAACAACATAATAATAAGATGATCGAAAAGAAGAAATAACACGCAGTAATAGAAATCTAAGAATAAGAGAATACTGGAATATGTACTAATACTACTGGTATGGAAAAGAAGAACGATCTACTAACCACTATCCTCCTACCCTCTCCTCGGCCCCCGCACTCTCCTATTAAAGGTCATATCCTCGGTAAGTTGGAGATATGACATGTTTAGCCAAATCACCCCTCCCCAATACTTCTTCGGCCTGCCTCTATCTCTTTTAAGTCCCACCATAGCCAACTTCTCACACTTCCTAACTCGGGCATTTGGACCTTTCCTCTTCACATATCCGAACCATCTCAGCCTCCCTTCCCGCATCTTGTCTCGAATATCTTCATTCTTAATCATATATCTCCTAGTATGCTCATACATCCATTTCAACATCCTCATTTCCGTCACTTTCATCTTCTAGACATGAGAGTTCTTGACTGGCCAACATTTCGCACCATACAACATAATCAGTCTAACAACCACTCTGTAGAACTTACCTTTAATCCTCAGTGTCACCTTCTTATCACATAGGACACCAGATGCGAGCCTCAATTTCATCCATCCCGCTCTAATACAATGTGTGACATCCTTATCAATCTCCCTATTACCTTAAATTATTGACCCAAGATACTTGAAACTTTCTCTCTTGGGGATGACTTGCGTATCAAGCCTCACTTCCATTTCCATCTCATGAGTAGCATTACTGAACATACACTTCAAGTATTCTGTTTTAGTCCTGCTCAACCTAAAACCTTTAGACTCTGGAGTCTGCCGTCAAACCTCCAGCCTAGCGGTAACTCCGTCTCGCGTCTCTTCTATCATAATTATATCGTCTGCAAATAACATGCACCACGTAATCTCCCCTTGCGTGTGTCATTTCAATTCATCTATCACCAATGCAAATAAAAATGGACTAAGAGTTGATCCCTGGTGCAGCCTCATCAGTACCAACAATTCCTAGTCTTCTCCCGCTGTCCTTACCCAAGTCTTAGCTCCATCATACATGTCTTTGATTGCTCTAGTTTAGGCTACATGAATGCCTCTTGCCTCTAATCATCTCCATATAACCTCCCTTGGGACTTTGTCGTAAGCTTTTTCTAGGTCAATGGACACCATATGCAAGTACCTCTTCCTCTTCCTATATTGCTCCACCAATCTCCTTACAAGGTGAATGGCTTCTGTAGTCGATCTCCCCGGCATGAATCCAGACTGTTTCTTAAAAATAAATACACTTATCCTTACCCTTATCTTGTCACGACCCAAATCTCAACATGTCGTGGTGGCTCCTATCACAGTACTAGGAAAGCTAACAATCACAAAATAACTACTCATTTTAATTTAAAAGCATGATATATTAAGTGTAACATTGATAATCTCATAAATAACCGAAAGGTCTAACTACGACTCAAATATGAAATCTCCCCAAAATTCGTGTCACTGAGTATATGAGCTACTAGATATCAACATAGTCAAAATTTCTAATACAACGGTATGGAAAGATAGAACAATGCTAAATAAAATAAAAAGAAGGAGAGTCGGGGTCTGCGGACGCCAAAGCAGCTACCTCAAAAGTCTCCAAGCAAGAAATGCTCCAAGTCTAGCAACCACCGTGCCCAAAAGTACTTGGATCTACATACAAAGTGCAGAGTGTCGTATGAGTACAACAGATCCAATGTACTCAATAAGTAATAGGACTAAACTTGGGTTGAAAGCAGTGACAAGCTCAAATAGGTACATCCCAAATCCAGATAATAACAATACAAATATGACAGGAAAAATGACAGTAACAACTCAGAGAAATCTTGTAATCAATTTATACACAGTATATAAATGTAGACATGCTTTCGAGTTTAACAGTTTAAGCTCAACACTGATGAAATATGTTAAGTATGAATGATATGAGGAATGTTACATCTCTATATCTACATGTCAAATATGCATGTCACATGTAATGTATCACAATGATAACCTCATACACTCAATCTCTTAGAGTACTCAATCTGACTGTCTCAACTCCCACTCATCACACTTAATCACTCAGCACTATATGATACCTACGCTCACTAATGGTATGTCGGACTATAGAGGGGCGGATCTTGCCCAAGCGCTAATATAAAGACAATATGGCATGCTGTGGTGTGCAACCCACTCCCATAATAATAAATAAAGTCTATAAGGCCTGCTGTGGCGTGCAGCTCGATCCATAATAATAATATATATAAAGCCAAGAAGGCATGTTGCAGCGTGCAACCCGATCCACAATCTCACTCACAACACGACTGTCAGGCCCTAACTCAGTCATCAATCTCTTCAGTCTCTCGGCTCACAAATCTCATACCAATCAGCCCAAATAATGATACATGATGCAACAATAAATAGCAACAGAGATTGAGATATGATATGCAAATGATGAATGTGACTGAGTACATAATTGCCATTTAAGCAAATAAATCAATAGTAGAAATGACCCAGTGGATCCAAACAAAATAAGCATATAGCCTAAACATGATTTCTAACATGGATTTCAGCTCAATTACACATAGGGATCACTTGAATAGCAACAAGGTTGGATAACTACACAGTACCACAGAATCGATCGAGTCACAACTTCCACAGTGCACGCCCACACGCCCGTCACCTAGCATGTGTGTCACCTCAACACCAACCACACAACATGTATTTCACGGATTCATACCCTTAGAACCAAGTTTAGAAGCGTTAATTACCTCAAACCGCGCAAATCTCTACTCCAACAAGCCCTTGCCTCGCGAATCGGCCTCCGAACGACTCGAATCTAGCCACAAACAACTTAATATAATAAACACAAGCTATATGAATTGATTCCATACGATAAAGTTAAGTTCTTTAACCAAAGTCAAAAAGTCAACCCAAAATGTCAATCACGAGCCCACGTATCGGAATCTGACAAAATTTATAAAATCCAAATACCCATTCAATAGTGAGTCCAACCATACCAAAATTACTCAATTCTGATCTTAACTTGACCTTCAAATTATAGTCTATGAAGTTTCACAGATTTTCTCCCATTTTTCCATCCCAAAACCCTAATTAAATGGTAAAAATAATGATAGATTAATGTATAATAACCAAAATCAAGTTAGAATCACTTACCCCAATCAACTCCTTGAAAATCCCTTCAAGAATAGCCCAAATCTGAGGTCTCTAGCTCAAAATATGACAAATGGGTTCAAACCCTTGATTTGAAATTTTATACTCCCTCCGTTCCAATTTATGGTAACCTGTTTGACTGGGTATGGAGTTTAAGAAAAAATAAAAACTTCTGAAATTTGTGGTCCTAAACAATTCAAAAACGTCAGAGAGTATTTGTGTGGTTATAAAAACTTCTTATTAAGGATAGAATTATAAGTTTAAGCAAAATTATTTTCAAATTTAGAAAGGGGTCATTCTTTTTGGAACGAACCAAAAAGGAAATAGGTTCACATAAACTGGAACAGAGGTAGTAATTGCTGCCCAGAGGTTCTTCTTCGCGGTCGCGGAAAGTCCCTCGCAATCGCAAAGAACAAAAGAATGTTGCCCCAAAAAATGACCTTCGCGAATGCGGAACTCCAGCCGCGAACGTGATGCACATGAACTCGAAGCTACGTGATCGCGCACCTCCTCACGCGATCACTAAGAACAAACGTATAGCTTCCAGGCCACCCCTCATTCATTCTTCGCGAACGCGGTACAACCCTCACGTTCGCGTAGTTCCACTAACCAATGCTTCGCGATCGCGGACCAACTCTCGCGAACGCGTAGAACACTTTCACCAGTCGCCCAAACAAGCCTTCGCAATCACGAACCTTCTCACACGATCGCTTATTAGGAAACCGGACCTGAACATCACCAATCCCACAAAGTCTAAAATGATGGCGAACTTGATCTGAATCAAACCCGAGGCCCCCGGGACCCCAT